ATGAAGGACATGAAATGATTAATCTCGTAACTTGTGGTAAGGAGCCAATAAGGTCGTGTAGGTTTGTGGTAAACATCATCGGTTCTACAAGTTTAAGGTCACGTCATCCAATACTATTAAAACGTAGTTTAACCTTCATATGTATCGGGTTAATAAAAGAATATGCGTTTCATTATGAAAAAGTTATACTTAAAAAACCAATATATTTATTTTTGATGAGCAGTACAGCAATTCTTAGAAGGGAAATGACACATGGTCATGTCGAGGATATCTTCATGGCTGCCTCAATTAATTCATCGGGTGACTCTGGAATAAAGTGAGACCATCTGTGTGGCTTTGTTATTGTCTAAGATCAGCTGTTTAGTCAAAACTATTTTTAAATGCCCGATGAGCAACGATCAAGGACAGCTGGGCAGTTTCGAATCATCAATGAGCTACTGGAGTATCCCAGAACGAATCGGCGACCCTTTGGTGGTCAGTCAGTGTTTGGTGGTCGGTCGAACCCCTATTTGGCCCTAACTTTCCGTGTCCCTAACTTTCCTTGTCCCCATCTTTCCTAAACTCATTATAACCACCCAAAATATTAACTCAGGTCTATATTATTAATCACAATAACCAACTTAGCTGTTTAAGCGAATGGAAAACCCGTTAAACCAACAGATTCAGTGGCACCATAGTGAAATGTTTGATTTTTCTCTAGACAGTTTTGTTAATAACATTACCATCAATATTAAATTTTATGGAACTGCTGTCTTGACCTGTTGGGTAAATAAAAGTTCAGCCCTAGTGCAAATTTGGGTTCAAAGACATTTCGATTGAGTGGTGTTCACTACGTCCTTGTTGTTGTTGCTATGGCGCGACCTTGCTGAGGCAGCAAGTCTGCTGAACTACCTCAGCAATATAGTAGATCTCGTGATCAACCTACACTGGGGACAACAATCAGTGGAACATTGGCCACCTGATAGTGGCTTTGTGCACCATTCTGTTGTCTTGCCAAAGAGTTTGGTCCCGGACATTTCAGTTCTGATTCGTTAGGTTGGTTGCATCATGGGTCGACCACAAGCAACCGAACTGTCGATAGTTTCTACATCGTTCACTGTATACAATCATTGCCTTGCACTGAAGTAGACATCCCATCAATAAACTGTAGTCATTCTGTAGGTAATCTTGTATTCAAATTTAACGAAACTTGATGAGCCTCACATAACATTTGCTAAGCTCAAAGTTCGATTTCCTCCCTTATTTTTTTTTACAGTGATAAATATTGTCTCTTAAAATATGCTGTGTTTTACAATAATCCGTCATTTCAATTGGGCTTGGTTGAAAAGTATGCGTACCTACCTGTAATTATTGGCATCAGATAATAACTTCTAAAGGAAATCTTGAAGGTTTCAAACCTGATTTGATTGACCTGGTTGATATTTAACCTGATTTAATTGTGGTGGTTGAGATTTTTCTGGCCAAAATTCAGTTTTTATTGCATTGTGTAAAATAGAAAAGGCCCTTCTTGTCCTGAAAATATTCGGGAATTATTATTGTACTTTTTCGCATCAGCTCGCCACGTGTCACTTTTTTTTTAATAAAATTTGATTGATCATTTTTTATATTTTATTTAGAGTTGTATATACTACTAAGAACAAAATAATATCTTGAGTCGATATGAAACTATTCTTACTCATGACATTGTAGTTTATATATACAAACATTGCCATCCAATGACCTCTATTCTAGTTAGTGTAAATATCTACCTATACATACGGAAAAGTCTGAGTCTGAATGTACCTAGATCAGTAAACAAATGACAATGACTTCCTAGGAGCTGTAATATTGCTGTAATCTCCGGGTGCAGTTTATCCAGACAGAGATTTACTGTCATGACTAGACGTTAGCTCGTTTGTTTTATGACCATCAAGGTCATTTCACCTCGTTAACGATGGACTCCAGGACGCTGTTTACTTGTACTTTATGTTTTAATCCAAACATACCCTCTATAATATATCATTGTTGACGTTACCTCCTTAATATTGATACTCTTACTTAACTTTCAGTGTTTGCTTTCAATACATGCAGATCGCACTGTTGCTATACAATTTCTCTAGTATACATATAATATTTAAAAGTAATACACGTATTTTCCCTTTATTAAGTAAATAAGTATATATACGGTATTTATAAACATTTAAAAAACTTATTCACAAGTAACATTACCTCCTATTTTGCTTATTTTTTTTTAATATGAGCAAAGCCATGAATTACTTTATATGATCTATATTCGAATGCCACCAGCGTTACTAAGTAAATTTGGACCATCATTCTGATTTTTACTAGACCTATCTTAAAGTCCTTCTGTTATTAATTAGACTATTCCCTGATAGAGAAATGCACATTATTGTTTTCTTCACTAAGACATAGGCCTGAGACAACTGTACTGATATATAAAATCAATTATCTTAATATTTATTTATGATAAGGTTTAAATAAATAGACTGATTTATTTTAATGCAACCATCTCACTGATGCTTACCAATAAATGAATAAAATATTACTATATTCAAGCAGTATTTATTCATCTAAATTTGTGTGTCCAAAATGTATGCATATCTTTAAATATACAATAGAAAATAAGGAATAACAATTAAGCTCTTCAAATATTTAGGAACTGTTGTTTTACCAATGGAACCGCTTTAATTTCGCTACGGGGATGTCCAGGCGCTCGCAATTCAACTTGCATTAAAATCAAGGCGACTTTTATAGCCTGCAATTACACTAAAATGGTTCTTTTTCAGTCGAGTTTGCGTCATTGTGTCAGTCTAATAAAAGTCTTTAAATTGGCGTGTAGCTCGACTTACACTTCGGGTTTTTAGGTAAACGTGTTTGTGTTTGATGTCTTTCGAGACGTCCTTTTATGTCTTTCTTCTATGACGATCCTCATACCGAACTTATGGGTAGCTTATTGATTCCACGGGAGTTGAGGTTTCTCACAGCAGGAAATACGTAATCATTCAGTTGCATTGTACGGAAATCCAAGAAACAGGCGGAGGAATCTAAACTTTATGGACACCTCATATACAGGGTGATTGGTACTCAGTGCAAAAAAAGTGTGTGTGTGTAAGTACAAAGTAAATGAAGTGTGATGATGCATATAAGAGGTTCCAAGTCTAAAAATTGGCTTCCCAAACAATTATTTTACGTTTTTAAAAAATAACCATGTTTTTGAGCTTAGTACAGCAATTTCTCAATTACCTGTAAAAGGATTTATGTAGATAATGTAATTTCGAGTTCTACATTAAATTATGAATAAGAATAATAGAAAACTATGGAGGATCAAAATAGATTCAAAGATAAAAACTAAGGCGCTTGATACAAATTAAAAAAAACATTGGTCGATAGCATTTTTCTACACCCTGTGTACAAGAAGGTGGCCAAATATGTTAAAAACTGCGCCATTTTATAAGCTTTCCAACCATATGCTGCACTATTGAGCTTTAGGTCTGCTTATGTACGCTTTAGTGGTTTGAAGACTACAAAACATGGTGTCTTTAACATTTAAAACATAGAAAGTTGTAATGTATGTAACTTGTATTTTTGTTTCAGTTTGAACAGTAAAAACAGTAAAAAGGTTCCCTGTTTTCTAGTACTCAAACCACTAAAACAAACAAAAGCATATCTAAACCTCAACAGTGTAGCATATGGTTGGAAAGCTTATAAAATGGCGCAGTTTTTAACATATTTGACCCACTTCTTGTATACAGGGTGTAGAAAAATTCAATAGACCAATGTTTTTTAAATATTTATCAAACACCTTAATCTTTTTCCTTGAATCTATTTACAATGGAGTTTTTGGTACTGATCCTCTATAGTTTTCTATTATTCTCATTCAAAATTTAATTTAGAATACGAAAATGACATTATCTACTCAAATCCATTTACAGGTAATTAAAATATCTGTATTAAGTTTTAAAACATGGTGATTTTTGGAAAACTTAAAATAATTCTTTGGGAAGCTAATTTTTTAACTTATATTTTTATTTTTTGGGACTTGGAACCTCTTATATGCATCATCACACTTGACACTTGGTTAGTACTTTGTACTTACACAAAATATTGTTTGCCACACTGAGTACCAATCACCCTGTATAGTAGTAATAGATTTGCACGCACAATAACAATGCTATATCTCCCGAAAATATTCTTCGGCTTTTAGGAGCGAAACACGTAAAACATCTACTTGCCAACGTTCGAAAACTAAATAAAGGTAAAGGGGCTTATTTGTGGATTTTTTTCTAGAAATCTGTTTTACTTGGTTGAAAAACTTTTAAAGTTAATAATTTATAATAAAACCTTTCAAAGATTTTTTGCAGCCAATTAGGGCATACTGAATATTTTAAGAATCTAATATTTATTTTAAAATCAGTTAAATCACTGCATAATTGAAGTAAATAGAATTTCCATTTTCAGTCTTTTTTAATTATATTTGTTCCATATTTTTGGAGGTTTAAAATAAAATATTCGTTCAAATATTTTGTAACATTACAACTGTTTCTGGTATGTTAAACTTGATTTGCAGTTGTTTACGTTACCAAACAAGAGATTTGACAACAAAAAATGTTTAAGGCTATATATTATTGAATATCCATCTTACATGGTAGCAATTTTACACTAACCTAAAATTGTTTTTTATTTGTAAATCTAACAAGTTCTATCATATTAAGAAAGTTCTCCACTGGAAAGTCTACTAACTGTAGTTAAAGATTGTATGACGAGTAATGTGTTTAAAGTACGTGTTTAAATGTTAGTTACAATGAACGCTAGTTTATTCGGAGCGTGAACAAAAATTGCAAGACAACATCCATAAAATCTTTTAAGGGCTGCCCTTCTATTTTATCAAATAAATAAAAAACGCAGTTCATAATAAATTGTGTCTTTAAAATTATAATTATTGTAAAACGTTTTATGTGACGAACAAATAAATTTCAAGCATATATTAAGTATTTACATACCTTTGGTTGACGAGCGTATTCCAGGTGTCCCTAAGATGCTGTATGGTGTATGGTGTTGTTATGCTGTTCCGCACACAGACTATAGACTGCCTGAAGTGACTGCCGTGTCCGAACCTAACTTCATTCCCCCTCCATGGGTCAGCAGACCGGAGAAACCCTTCTTATCACTACATCTCGCCAATCACACCTTATCACATACTCGAGCTGAGGATGTCATGATGATGTGGAGGATTTGAGAAAAAAAACCAACTCCCAAAACGTTGTCACCTTACGTAACAAATGCAGAGGGGTGGCAAGCTGTGCATTATTAAGGGCTACATTTTAATACAGATACATTGTTTAACGCGTGTGACGATCTGCGTTACGTTACATCTCCAACACGGATGTATTAAGTAATGAAGCCCGAGGGGGTGATATGTTAGGACGTTACGTTACTGTCCATCAGTAGCCATAACTGCGGGGGTTACCCGTTACGGTGCACCAAGACATTCTCCAAGAATGTGTTGTGTGAAAGACTAATTTAAATTACGTTACATAGTTTAAATAAAATTTTGACTTCTAAAATGAAGGAATCTAATAGTGTTTTACAGTCGGTGTAACGATACCCAAAATACAGACTTAACCGGAAAGTTTAGAAAATTTGCGTTTGCATAGACATTTCTTCAATAGCAACGAATGTCAATTAAAACTATTTGAAGATGTTAAATCTATGTTCTAAATGTAAAATACAATTCAGTATTAGAACAAGCTTTCTGAGTTATAATGACAAATAAATATTTAGATAATGTATAAATTGTTTACAAACAGTTGCAGTTCATAAACTTGGCCTAGCTAAGATCTTTGTAACCAAATTCCTTCAAAGTGTTTCCAGTAATTTAGGAGGCTCATAATAGTGGTTAACCCTCTAAAGTTTGCCCACATTGATACATACTTGCTATCATTAATTCAACTGACCAACAATAGTGAGAGCTTACTAAAACGTGTAGTTTTATTTATTCCGAGTATGATGAATTAAATTGAATCCCTACCCTTCGTGTAGCTTGTTGGGAAGTGTAATTTCCCCTCTACATTAGGTTTGTACAAATTCATATACCTGTGGAGTAAAAATGTTTATTTTATCAACAAATTAGTTTAATAATGCAGATTTTGAGGTAGGGCCTATTATTCCTAATTGTTTACTGTGTTTATGACACATGCTACGTATTCGATTTCATTTCATTTGCTTAACTAGTTCTAACCTTGCGACCAAATATTTTATCCTAACTTATATGCTACGGTATAGAACTTAGGTGTATTGTTTGATAGTACAAGAAGTGCTTATTTTTTGTAAATATAAAGGTAAAAATCTAATACTTTGAGTACACAATCTCGGGGTAGGATCCTTAGATGTTTCGTATTGCATTGATATTTAATATTAAAAAAAAAAACAATTTCCCGTCGCGTTTCTTTTAGTTGGTGGAGAATTCTATAGCTTATCCTACCCATTTTTTCTTGTGACCGATATGACTAATTTCTTACATATTACAAAGTGTTTACCGTATGTTAATGTATTGTTGTATGAAGACGGAAAGATATTTTGCAATTCCAAAACGTTTATCCTCATTTTCTAAAAGAAATCACACAATTTTTTGCTTCATTTAAAAAAATCAGGTAAACACATGTTTTAAGTATACATTGCAAAATATTGCAAAACATTGCAATTCAAACGTTCAAATACAAAATCAAATCAAGCAATGACAAATTTTACATTTGACCAACAAATTAAACTGTATCTTATTTTGATTTGGAGACGAGCTCCATAAACAAGTTTTGCACAGCGTCATTAAATTAAATCGCGGGTTCCCAACAAACTATGTTTTCCCAGCGGCTAATTATTGGCGTCAATTGAGTGGAGAAAATCGGACACCAAAGGGAAATTGTAGAAGTTTGAATTGGTGACTATTTCAAGTTAGTATACTCATTAAAATGACACAGGCGGACTTCACCCCAGTTGTGATACAAATTCCCTACATTGAGTTATACCAGCCAGTTGAATGTTTCAAGTAAACAAGGAGATTTCCTGTGACTCTTTTGGATACAAATAACCAAGATTGTAGTTTGCCTAATTGTGGTTGTATGACCTTCACTGAGATTTAATCTAGCTTAGTTCAGTGGCGAAAGGAGGATAACGACTTAAATGATTTACCGGATATCAAATAAATAGCTCTCAATCGATTATTTATGTGTTTTTTATTCAATGTATTCCCAAATACAGTGTTGTCATCTTCGTGGCCCGATGTAGGTCACGTATTTATATGATCATTTAGGGCGGTAGATGAAACAAATTATTTGGCAGGAAAAAAGTTTGGTAATAGTCATAAAATAACTTATTAAATTATATGTATTTATACGTGACTGGCACATCAGAGTGCGTACCTTAAGAGTAGTTATAGTTGAATAAATAATATGACAGGTTTAATCTGACTAAAATCGCCTGATTCTTTAACCAGGTCTATTTGTTAACTTACACACATATAACACATACAGTTGTTTGTTAATCTCAAACCCCAATGATTAAGGACAGTTGGGCCCAGATTTATGCCATCAAAAATCTTCTGACTTTTCTCAGGATAAAAACCAGACATGCCTCCTTTTTACACCAGGAGAGCCACGACCACACAAATTACACAAATTATGATAAGCCTGGAAATGTGTTCGATTTTACCAAATTAACGAAAGATCACTTTAATCTAAGGCCTATTCAAATCGGTATACAGTTTGTAAATGGTACCGAGTCAAACCAAGTTTGATGATACCAAGTTCGAAATGATCGAATAAATAACCGAAATATCACGAATTATAGGGTGTGAAAATAAGGCAAAAAAGGTATAACCTAGCTTGTCCTTATTCTACTTCGCTTAACAAGTAAAAATCGTGATGTTTAAAAGTTATTTTTACTCGATCTTTTTGAACTTCGCGTCTTATGATAGGAAATTTTAAATACTAAATAAAAGAGTTCTAGCAATTTTTCATCAAATCTGCCATTCTTTAGTAATTTAAATATAAAAAATTAAAATGGATGCCATTTTGAAATTTTATTTTGACCCATGAAACTTTTTATTTCGACCCATGACACCATTTCCCGGAGTTTGGCTGTTTACTTACGGGAAACCCTGTATTTTTAGCTAATTTGATTGTTTAACAGTCACTTGTTTTGAAACTTAGAGACGACTTTTACCAAGGATTTGAGTGTTTTACTTCATAATCGGAACTTAAAATTACCTTATACAATTGGGATTAATTTATAGCATAAAGTTCACCAAGGTACCCCGGGGTTCACTTTTAAAACATTTTCCGCACTGCAAACACTAAATATTTTCGATCAATGTAATATTTAACTACAATAATTGTCCTTCTCATGCATTATTTCCTACTACTAATTCCATTTGTAACTAATATTATCCTTTTCTACAACATTATAAGAGTAGTTGATCATTTACCAGTCAAATTTTAACACAAGCTATTAACATCAATTTACCTTTCAAACTCTGTACTCTATTTCATAAGCCATGAGACTACTGTGCTGTATAACTAGAGCACACCATCGATGTATAATAACTCCACACATGTAGAGTTATTATACATCGATGGAGCACACTACGATGCGATCTACTGGGGGTCGCCGGGGTTTGAGTGAGACCTTGAGGTATCTGAAAGAGAATGTAATACGTCTGCCACTGCCACCGAGGTTCAATGAGGTTGTCCGTTATTTCATGGATTTGTTGGGATCTACCGAATGCAAGTGCTTTGTTTTGCAATCTGCAATCCGATTTTAGAATTTTTAAGGCTATACAGTAGGCCTTTTTATTGTCAATATTTTCCCTGTCACTTAATTTATCCCACATCATGGCACATCATTTGTACAATTCAGTTATGTATACAAGTATGTTTTAGTAATTACCTTCTTGGCGCAACCGATAAATCATCTTGACTTGGAACAATAACACCATTGTTGATTCCATGACACATTAATCACGTATACCAACCCTGTAAACACTAGCTTTCAGACTTGTAGCCGATTTAACGTTTTATTTTACATAATCCAACTAATGATGTAGGTACAATAATTAGACTACCAGTTATCAGTTTGTTTTTTACACAAAGATTTTCTTTCACTGCGTCGTCTGATACTCGTTGGCAGCACCTATAATCTTATGTATGTGTATATTAAAGGTGCTGGAGTACAGTATTAGCCAAAATAGACAGTACTGAAACTTAGCTGTTACAATTTCAGTACTGTTTATTTTGGCTAATACTGTATTTACAGTTGAATAATAATCAGTTAAATGTCTGGACAGAACAATTATTATTAATCACCAGACTACATTACCTACTACTTTAGAAGTAGATTAACGCACATATGACAATTTTATCTTCCTCCAATGTTTGCTCTGTAAATGAAACACTTTTATTATTTACACTTGGAAGAATCGTTATTATTATGTTTTACAATTACAATTTTACGATTACAATCGTTATCGAAATGATTTACAGTTATGTAGTTATTACAGTACAGAGCTATTAATTGTATTTTCGAAACGTAAATTAAAATATGAAAATTGATCTTCCACAACAGATCAAATTGCTACCACCAGACTGATGATACAACTGCCAAAACAAGTAACACGGCTACCACTAGATTGACAATACAGTATAACATCCACAATACGCACGTAAAATGGTTACCAACAAAACAATAGCAACAACACGTAACAATTCTACTTCCAGGGTGACAATAGAATAGCCACACTACGTGCCATGACTACTGTCAGATGACAACACAACTGCCACAAAACGTAACATGGCTACAATCAGGCTGACAATACCTAATCACAGTACGAACTAAAATGGAAAATGTTTATTGTCAGAATGACAATATAACCTGAAGTTAAAATTAATCCACAACACGTAACGTGGCTACCTCCAGAATTGCAATTCAATAGCCACAACACGCCACATGGCCACCATCAGACTGACAATAAAATAGCCACACCACGCCACATGGCTACATCCAGAATAACAATGCAACAGTCACAGCACGTCACATGGCTACAATCAGGCT